CAACCCTTTTACAAGATATTTTTTTGACAGAAGTTTCGAATCCCTTTTTTTGTTCTCTCTCTTCCTATTTATAAGGGATATTCCTAGAAAATCCTAAAAAGGTACAATGTGAGGGAATATTCAACAGAATATTCCTATTCATAGTCAAAAAGACGTTTTAACAATTGTAGCCGTTGCTCTGTACCTGACCTCTGCTCCGATCTTCTCCTTTGAACGACTCCTCGGCACTAGACCGTACGTAATCTTGACCTCGGCCTCAGCTCGTCCATTTGCACTCGCCACGCTAGATCGAATTTTGACCCATACAATTTTGACATTGGGTTTCAGAATTGGACTCTGATTATTTTTTCTTTCTTCTTGATGTTTTTTCGATTATGACTTTTTCGACATTGGGAAGTCCCACTTTTAATGGATCAGATCATAACTTTCACCTTTGAAAATGGTGACTGGGCGGGAAAAGTTCTTCTGGCAGAGCTATGGTGAAGAAGAAAAGAAGGGAAAAAGAAGAAAAAGTGGAAAAAGTAAAAAATTTAATAAATTGGTTTTGAAAAAAGACCACCCACAAATTACAAATGTCAAATAATTAATGATCTGAGAATCTAACGTGGTATTCATGTCAGGACACTGAGATACACGCTCATAGGGAGAAGTTTATCATAAGTATTTTTATCGAGTTGAGCCAAGGGTCTATTGGAAACAGCCTCTCTACCTGCATTAGGTAGGGGTAAGGTCTGCGTAAAGACTACCCTCCACAGACCCCACATGTTGGGATCAAATTGGGTTTGTTGTTGTTGTTGTTATCGAGTTGAGGTGCCAAAATGAGAAAATTGAGAGTTTTTATATCGGCTTTAAAATTTAATCCAAATTTAGGTGGCCCAGAGGCTATTATGCCAAAACACTAATCTCAAATGCAATTTATAAATCTCATTTGTACGATTTGTGCTAACGACATCTCCTATACCTTAGTTAGCTCAGTTAGTAATTGTTGAGGGATGCTGAGCTGTCACAATTAGTTAGTTAGCTAGTGTTAGCAACAATACTTAAGAAGTCAATTATTTTAGTATAAAACAATGTACAGTGTGTTGAGAAGTTAGTTAGGTAAAATAAAGAATTTTCCAGAATCTTCTTCCTTCTCTTTCATCCTCTCTGTTTCTCTTCCGCCATTAACAGAGCTCTCAAGCTCTTAACATGGTATCAGAGTAGTGAGAATCGATCGGGATTTTACTCACTACTCATCTAAGTCTCAAAGCTCATTGCATCTCCGATCTCCTACAAAATCGTGAAGAAACCGTTCCAAACTCTCAATTCACAAAGCTAGGGTTTTGTAATTTCTGCCCAATCCAGCTGAAATGGTGAATGAAGATGGAACGGGAGTCGCGGCTACAGGAATTGAAGCTAAAGTCGATCACACGCATCCACTTTTTGTGCATCCATCGGACACTCCGGGTTCAATTCTAATTCTGATCCAACTCAAAGGATCTGAAAATTAAGGACTATGGCGAAGGTCGATGCGTATAGCACTTCAAGCCAAACGGAAATTAGGTTTTGTCAACGGAACTTGTAGAAAGGAATTATTTGATGTTGAATCTCATGAGCACTGGGAAACATGCAATGCGATTGTCCTTTCACGGATAATGAACACAGTTGCGCCGCATCTATTCAGTGGAATTGTTTATGCATCTGATGCGCATATTGTATGGGAAGATCTGAGATAGCGTTTTGACAAGGTAAACAGAGTGCGTATATTTCAGTTACATCGATAAATTGCAACAATTTCTCAAGGAACAGACTCTGTTTCTATGTATTTCACAAGGCTGAAAGAGCTATGGGCAGAATATGACGCAATGGTACCTTCCCCAAACTGTGGTTGCCCAAAATCCAAGGAAAATGTAGAGCATTTTTTACAACAACGGTTACTTCAGTTTCTCAGTGGATTGAACGACTCATATGATCAGGCGAGGCGTCAAATTCTCATGAAGACAACAGAACCAACCTTGAATCAAGCATATGCAATGATCATTGAGAGTGAGAGTCAATTGACACCAACATCTGGAGTTAATTCCATAGTAGAAGGGAATGAGATTACAACTTTATGGAGTGAAAAAGGTGGACAACAGAAACAAAATAGAAATTTCAACTTATTCTGTGAACATTGCAAACTAAAAGGTCATACCAAGGAGAATTGTTACCACTTGGTTGGTTACCCCCTAAACTATAAAGGAAGAAAAAAGAATGGGCCATCTGCGAACAATGTGATGTCATTTGTTAGACAACTGGACCAAAACACTAATGTGATCCCTGGCCAGTATTATCCTGGGAATTACAGTCCTGGAGTTTACAATCAAGGATATAACAGTAATAAACATGGATACTTTTCTGGTGGAGAACATCGTGATTCAAACCTCACTAGTGGTGTGAATCAAGGTTTTGATCAGGGTCAAGGAATAATGAATAATGTTGTTGCAGGTCAAGGAGCAACAAGCATGAATACAATACCAACACCCATGATATTCACACAGGAACAGTATAATCAAATCTTGAAGATGCTGAATAAGGGTAACAATAATGAGACTGAAGCAGCAGCTAATGCAGCAGGTATTGTTACTCCCTCTACTCCTAATGATAGGAATGATAAGTGGATTGTAGATAGTGGTGCCACAAATCATATGGTGGGAGACAGTGATATGTTATCTACAGTAACTAAACGTGAGAATAAGAAGGTACTATTACCTAATGGTACTAGAGTTCCCATTACTCACATAGGTAGTTCTGAACTGTTGCAAGGAAACATACACAATGTTTTATGTGTCCCTGAATTCAAGTTCAATATGTTATCAATAGCAAAGTTGACAAGGGAGCTGAGATGCCTCATGGCATTCTATCCTGATTTTTGTTTAATGCAGGAGCTTCACAATGGGAAGGTGAAGGGGATTGGTAGAATGGAAGAGGATCTGTATCACTGGCACTCAAAGAATAAAAGGACATCATCAACTGTTCCGTCAGTGTTCCTATCAGTACATGATGAAGAGAAGCTATGGCATATGAGACTAGGGCATGTCTCAGGAAGGATATTAAAACAACTCTCTCTAGTTAGAAGTATCATGAATAACACTAAGTCTTGTACTGTATGTCCTCTAGCTAAGCAGACAAGGTTTCCTTTTCCCATAAGCAATAGTAGAGCTGCAAAGCCTTTTGACTTGATACATGCAGATGTTTGGGGCCTATATAGGGTTCCTACTTTTGATGGTTGCAGATACTTTCTTACTTTGGTGGATGATTGCAGTAGAATGGCATGGGTTTTTCTATTACATCTGAAAAGTGATGTTAGTACTATTCTTAAGGAATTTCTGCTGCTTGTACAAACTCAGTTTAATGAATCAATAAAGGTTTTTAGGAGTGATAATGGAACTGAGTTTTTTAATTCTTTCTGCAAAGCTTTGTTCAGTAATGCAGAAATCATACACTAGAGTTCTTGTATTCATACTCCGCAGCAAAATGGAGTAGTCGAACGAAAACACAGACATATACTTGAAGTGGCCTTTCAAGCAGGGCTGCCTTTACGATTTTGGGGTATTTGTGCTGTTAATGTTGTGTATGTCAACAATAGGCTACCATCCCCAGTATTGGGGAACAAATCACTATTTGAAGTTTTTTTGGCAGAAAACCCAACTTGAGTCATTTGAGAGTCATAGGCAGCTTATGTTATGCAACAAACACTGGGACCAATGGAGATAAATTTGGTCCAAGATCTGAAGCAGCAATACATATGGGATATTCTAGCACACAAAAGGGATACAAATTATATAGCCTTTCACGCAAAACATTCTTCATATGTAGAGATGTTGTCTTTAAGGAGGATGTATTTCCATTCAAATCAACTCAAACACTAAATGCCAACAGGACTCCTATATATTCTGCTTCTATACCACATATAGATTCACCTTCAGAGTCATCATTTGTCCAAAATAGTTCACCTTCATCCTAATCACCTTCTCCAACATCTCCAGTACCCATGCGTAGTCCAGAATTGTTCCCTGCTATACAAGATACTCCTGAAACAAGCAGTCCATCACAAGCATCACCTGGACATGACACACAGTCCACTGGTTCTGAATTGTATCATACTGCTTCTCCTCCACAACCTAGGAGAACTGGTAGAATTTCTAGACCTCCTGGATGGTTAAACGATTTTGTACATGGTCCACTGCCCAGTACTCACACTTCAGCTTCTTGCATTTATCCTATGTCTGACTACATGTCTTACACCTCTCTTTCAGCTGCTTATCTTGATTCCATTTGCAATTATTCTGTCATCAAGGAACCAGATTCCTATCCAGAGGCTCTACAAGATGAAAATTGGGTTGCAGCTATGAAACAGGAGGTTCAAGCATTACTTGATAATCATACTTGGTCTCTGGTTGACTTACCTCCTAGTAAGAGGGCCATAGGGTGTAAATGGGTATACAAGGTGAAATATAATGCTAAGGGAGAGGTAGAAAGATATAAGGCTCGTTTGGTGGCCAAAGGATACACACAACAGGAGGGGTTGGACTACCAGGAGACCTTCTCTCCTGTAGTCAAAATGGTCACTGTTAGAGTTGTTCTATCAATGGCTACTATGTATGGTTGGCACTTGCATCAGATGGATGTATTTAATGCATTTTTACAAGGAGATTTGGTGGAAGATGTCTACATGGTACAACCTCCAGGTTTTGCTAGCCAGGGGGAGTTGTCTAAGGTATGCAAATTGCAAAAGTCCCTATATGGACTGAAGCAAGCATCCATACAATTGAACTTGAAATTATCTGAGGCCCCTTTTGACTTCAGGAGTCTCCCAGAGTCACTATGATTACTCTCTTTTCACTAAGAAAGTTGATGGTCATATTGTGATCATCCTTGTGTATGTGGATGATCTTTTGATCACTGGTTCTTCTTCTTCTCTTATTCATGCCACTAAGACATTACTTCAGCACCATTCCAAGATCAAGGACCTGGGGGAGATGAAGTATTTCGTTGGACTTGAAATAGCTAGAAGCAAAGATGGGATTTCTGTTTGTCAAAGAAAATTTGCCCTAGAACTAATTTCAGACTTAGGTTTGGCAGGCTCTAAGCCTGCAACCACACCCTTGGAAGTCAATCAAAGACTTACTAGTGTGGCATATGACAAAGGCCTTGCAGCTGATGATACAGAGATAGATGAGGCAATGGAAGATGCTACAAGCTATCAAAAACTAGTGGGAAAGCTACTATATCTTACTATGACTAGGCCTGACATAGCTTATGCAGTCCAGAACTTAAGCCAATTCATGCACTCGCCCAAGAAGTCACATATGGAAGCAACATTAAGGGTAGTCAAGTACCTAAAAAATGCACCTGGTCTAGGAATTCTACTGTCTTCTAAGAGATCTAATGAGTTGATAATTTTTTGTAATGCCGATTGGGCTACTTGTCCCATGACAAGAAAATCAGTCAGTGGTTTTGTTGTCAAGATTGGAGACTCCTTACTCTCGTGGAAGTCAAAAAAATAGAGTAATATATCAAAAAGTTCAGCAGAAGCTGAGTATAGAAGCATGGGAACAGCAATTGCAGAAGTGGTTTGGCTTGTAGGGCTGTTTGGAGAACTGTACTTGCAGATTCAGCTACCAGTGAAGCTGTTTTGCGATAGTAAAGCAGCTCTTCAGATAGCAGCAAATCCAATTTATCATGAACGAACGAAACATATAGAAACCGATTGCCATTTCATTAGAGAAAAGATACAAAAGGGATTGATAGAGACAACACATGTGAAGTCGGAGTTGCAACTGGCAGACATTCTGACTAAAGGTCTTGGTCGAGCTCAGCATGAATTTTTGTTATCCAAGCTAGGAGTGTTCAACTTGTTCACACCACTTAGCTTGAGGGGGAGTGTTGAGGGATGCTGAGCTGTCACAATTAGTTAGTTAGTTAGTGCTAGCAACAGTAATTATGAAGTCAATTATTTTGGTATAAAACAATGTACAATGTGTTGAGAAGTTAGTTAGGGAAAATAAAGAATTTTCCAGAATCTTCTTCCTTCTCTTTCATCCTCTCTGTTTCTCTTCCGCCATTAACAGAGCTCTCAAGCTCTTAACAGTAATGGACACATGTAAGTCCCATTTTAGACAGCGATTTGCAAAAGAACCACGGTACATGAACCTTTTAGCCAAATTTGTATATTTTAGGCAAAAATGTCTGGAAACTAGTGTCACACCTACTTTTTCCTACACCCCGAAAAGGGTATTAAGGGAGTTTTTTCCAATTCAAGTGACAATCGAAACAAGATTAGTTCATTTAAAATTCAGAGTCGCCACGTGGGATAATTTATGATGTCCCAAGTCACCTGTTTGGAATCCCGAATCGAGGAAAGATTGACTCTGTTTTACAGTCCGCGAACACAGAAATCCGGGTAAGGAATTCTGTTAACCCGGGAGAAGGTGTTAGGCATTCCCGGGTTTCGTGGTTTTAGCACGGTCGCTCAACTGTTATTATTGTCCTATTTATTTGATTTTAAAACAACTTTGAATCCTATGTGCATTTTTATTCCTATTTTAAACCACTTTTAATAATCCAATTATTATACAACTAATTACTTTATTACACGGTTGCGAATCATGTCACGGGAACCGTACCCACAATTCACGTCGTGTCTATTTTTATTTAAAAAGATTAAATTGGGGTCGGGTCACATAAATGTACCCCCGGATTTTAGAAATTAGATGTGACGACCACGTCACGGGAACCATACCCGTAGCTATGACAATTATTTAATTAACGCGCCTAAAGCAACCTACGAAAGTGCAAGGCATTTTTTATACTAATTTTTGTATTTATGTGAGGGCCATACATTATGGATTTTATTTGCGTATGGCGCACCTCAAATTATTTTAAAAGAAAAGATTTGTATATTTTATCACAACCACGTCACGGGAATCGTACCCGTAGTTGTAATAATTCAATTGCGCGCCTAAAGCAAACTACAAGATTCATTTTAGTAACTAAGTTGCAAAAATATGAGGGCCATAGATTATATGATTGAATTGTATGAATGGCACGCCTCAAAACTATTCAACTAAATGAACTATGGATATTCATATTTAAAGCTAATCCGAAGTTAATCGCAACTACGCCACGAGAACCGTACCCGTAGTCGCGATGTTTTAATTACGGGCCTATAGCAAACTACAAAATTCAAGTATTATATCTAAATTATAGGATTAAAGACATACCAACAGAGATTCTATGAACCCATAAAATTGATATACTAAAATAACATCAACAGGATCAAATAAGCTCAAAAAATCAACTCGTTTTTTAAATGCCAATCGCAGCTTTGAATTCCTCGGAGAATAACTATGGACCTCACGTCCATTTCTCTTCCACAAACTCACAATAGCAGCTAGATACAAGATCTCCACACAAAATTACTACAAGTTCAGAATTTTAAACAATCCAACTAATTGATAATGGAAATTAAACCAACAGCAAATCCTCCAAAACAATTAGGCACAAAGTATTACAATAAAATTCATACTCAGCAAATCTAACAAGAAATATACAATTTAAAGAAATGCAACTGAATCATGGCCATAAACATCACTGATACAAATGAAAAGGGAACAGACCTTTGATCAAATTACAACTCAAACCTCAAACCGGAAACAAAGAGCAACAATCTCAAATCGAACCTCGACGGAACCTCATAGAGTCCCTGACTGGGCTGCCTCGCCTCTCGGACAACAAACTCTGCGATCGAACACCCAATTCAGATCCTACCCATTTCGGAAGCCACGACCCAAAGAACATCTAGAATTTCATTATATTTTCGAGTTTGAAATCAGATCTGGAGTTAAGACCAACTGAAATCTTTTCCTTAATATTGATGAACTAAGATGAAATCAGAAAAGTGAAAATCAGAAGTAAAAACCAACAACCCCGAATCCCCTGTTCTATTTTCGTCACTCCCTCCCAATCTCGCGGAAGTGAGCAGCGGCAGATATGATTTTGATGATTAAGGATGGTTGCTTTGGTGTCTCGACGATGGGGAGTGTGGTAAAGGAAACGACTGAAGCGGAAGCAGGTTGGAGATGGTTGTTGGTTTTTGTTGAAGAAGACTAAAAATCCGGGGGGGGGGGGGGGGGTCTCCGTGTAATGGCGCTGCTTTGAAGAGAAGACAGCTTCAAGGTCTCTTTNCTGGCCGTTAAAACAAAACTATTTTTGGTATTTTTCAAGATTAAAAATGACTACAAAACACTAATGAAACTACTTTTTTGTAATTTTCATTTTCTTGTAATAAAATAAAGTAAAAGAGTCAAAGCTAGCTGAAATAGCGATATTAGGCCTAAATTAAATATTTTACGCTAAAATGGGTGAAATTTCGGGGAGGGTCAAAAACACATGTCTACAGTTGCCCCTCTTTGACTGGAAATACGAAGTATCTTCAGACAAAGAATGACTAGACGGGTTTTTTGACCCGACCCTTATTTGGAGAGACTAAAACTAAGAGAAAGAGGAATGTGACCGAGCCTTGGTATCTGAGCTGCCTACATATCCTTGGCTATAAAGGAATCAGGCCACGTGTAGTTCAGAGGTGAGTGAGATGATGGAGTATACCGAGGTAGTGAGTCGATCGAGGTGCCGTTCCGTCGAGGTTCCGATCCGCGGTCCTAACATTACATCAAAATAAAAAAAATGAAAAAGACTAACTAAGCCTGTCAACTATGAGTTACAAGATTCCTATCTATAAGTCTTCTGAAGCTTGATCTTGAGTCTTGAATGGTTCTTCATGCAGACTTTGGATTTGAACCTTGACGCTTGCTAGTTGCAGGTGCTAGTTCATTCTTCTTCAGCTTTTCGGATCAAAATCGGACATACCATGCTTGTGACTTCAATTATGTCTTGAGCAGCTCACATCTTTCATCAACTTCTGCATTTGGATTCACTTCTTGCCTTTCTTTTTTTTCCCCCTGGATTGTGACTAACTTCTGTTGATCACCTCGGACTGTTGACTCGCATTCTTGCCGCGAGCTTATTTTGTTGTTGACTTGAATTGCATTCTGAAGTGAATTCCCTTGTTTTCCAGATGGTGCCTGATTGCCAACATTTGAACTGTATTCCTTTGTTCTCCAAGTGGGTGCCTGATTACCAGCATTTGCACTGTTTTTCCTTGAGACTTGAACTGTTTCCCTTTTTTCTCCAGGTGGGCTCCTGATTGCTGTCTTCCTTTGAACATTGTTGCTTTCCCTTTGTTCTCCAGGTGGGCGCCTGATTTCCAACACTTGCACTGCTTTTCCTCGAAACTTGAACTACTTCCCTTTGTTCTCCAGGTGGGCTCCTTATTGCTGTCTTCCTTTGGACACTGCCGCTTTCCCTTTGTTCTCCAGGTGGGCGCCTAATTTCCAACATTTGCACTGCTCTCCCTTTGTTCTCCAGGTGGGCGCCTGATTTCCAAAACTTGAACTGCTTTCCCTTTGTTCTCCAGGTGGGCGCCTGATTTCCAAAACTTGAACTGCTTTCCCTTTGTTCTCCAGGTAGGCGCCTGATTCAAACCAAAGAAATTTCTACCCCAATGTGATATTGGGAACATCTGTGAGTGTTAATCAATTCTTGTTGTCAAAATAAATTCTAAATTAAATTCCTTTATCCTGAAAATTTCAAACCAAACCCCATTCCGAAAGTGGCAACTTAAATGCCAAATTACATTTCTCAATAGTAGACCTCTCGTCAGACCTTGTCATTTGCGAGGGCCTCAAAACTAAACTAAATCCTATTATCCAAGGGGGTACTGGAGCTTACTGCCGAGTCTGTCTGGAACTTGCTTTCCTTACGAGGGTTTCTCCGAAACGAACGAGATTTTCTGCCCCTGTTTTAATCAAAGAAAAATCTTGTCAGTTTAAGAATGTGGTGGTTAGCTTGCGGCATTCTTGCTGGGGGTGGCCCTTCCGCTGCTGTGCTTTGCTTTGACTGGCTGCCTTGAACTGGCCAAGAATTGTTTGACTTTCTAACCGACTCTCAACCGCAGGACCCTGAATGACCCAAGTGTTCTACACCCAAAACGTTGTTTTTACATTCCTGACCCTTTTATCTGAACCAAGCCATTCAACCAATGGAACTTTCATTGACACCTTATTTCCCACTCTACATCATGTTATCTTTGGTACATTCTAGTCGTACTTTGCTTCGTGCAATTGGGAAGTTGGTAGTAAGCTTTGAAATCCCTTCTTACTTGCTTAGACAAAGCTGACATTAGACAAGACTTAGAGAACAAACCCAAAAGAAATGAAATGCAATGACTTTGAGAGTTAGGAATAAAGAAGAAAATCCAAAACTGGATGACTGTTTGAGGGAAAAAAGAAAAGAGACTTATCTGAGTGGAGCAGCTGGTACCAATGATCATGACATGTATTTCGGATTAATCAGCCCAATCTATTCAACCAATCACCTTTCGGCTGTCATACTTTGTGCCCCAGGATCTCCATAACCCAATTTCTTTGCCCAATCACTGACCTTGTTC